TGTATTTAAATAGTAGTCTGAACAAAAAAGTGCAAAATAACATTCAAACATTGCATTACATTTTTCTTTTAACAAATTTAGAAAATTCCTACGGTTCTGGTGTAAAGCAGCAAAGATGTTGACAAACTCATCCATATTCAGCCCTGAGAAACCTTGGAGGAGAGGACTAAAGGAGGAGAGGACTAAAGGGAAGAGGGCGATGATACGATGGGCAATTAATAATGGAAAATACACACGCATGCACACCCGCACGCACACACACGCACACAGGCACGCACACACGTACACAGGTACGCAGACCCACACTGGCACACACAGGCACGCACACAGGCGCGCATACAGGCACGCATACGCACACACAGATACACACACTAAAAGTTCTACAAACTGAACAAGTAATGCGCTGCAGTACGTGTGTCTATACTTTGTGTCAAATGTAAACGTTGGCTCTGCATCGCTAACTTACCTCTTTGTTTTCATCACGACTTGGGCACACCTGAGTCCAACAACCCAAAGCATTAGCATACAGCACTGGCTCCACACCATGGATGTATTATATTAACGCTCCACACGGAGTCAGGGTGCGTTCACAGACGGGGGAAACCGTGGGAATTTTTAGCTTTTGGCGGAAAAAGTGCGGAAGATTCTCAAGATTAACATTATTACATTGCCGTCTTCCGAGGGGGGCACTGGGGGTGGCAAGGATATTTTTAGAGGTGGCAGTGGCCACCCTGGCTACCCCTCTGGCTCCGCCACTGTGGTGGAGACCACTCAGGGGGCGAGGGCGCCGTCCACTGTCAGGGCCTACGCCACGAGGTGGAGGCTCTTTAGCGACTGGTGCGGTTTTCGTTCCTGGGATCCCAGGCGTTGCCCGCTGGAGGGGGTCCTGGGATTCCTACAAGAGCTCTTTGACAAGGGGAGGGCTGTCGCCACCTTGGCGGTGTTCGCGGCAGCCATTACTTCGGGTCACGACGGATTCGGGGGGTTCACAGCCCGCTCTCATCCGTTGGTTAAACGTTTTCTGCGGGGGGCACGCAGGAGGAGGCCCCCGCTCCAGAGAATGCCCCGGTTTGGGACCTCAGGGTGGTCCTTAGGGGGCTGTCGGGTCCGCCTTTTGAACCGGCGGCGGAGGCGAGTCCCGAGTGTGTCGCTTTAAGACGGCCCTCTTGTTGGCGTTGGCGTCTGCTAAGAGGGCGGGCGACTTGTGTGCGCTCTCTGTCCATGCGTCTTGCCTGTCCGTGGAGAGGGCGACGGCATGGTGGTATTGTGGCCCAATCCGGCTTTCTCCCCAAGGTCATCACGTCGGCCTTTAGGTCGAGAGTCATCAGGATTAGGGCTTTCTATCCGCCACCGCATGCCTCCCCCGAGGAGGAGCGGCGGCTCCTTCTGTGTCCTGTCAGAATGCTGAGGCATTACCTGGCCATGACGGCGTCATTCAGGTTGGGTGGCCAGCTGTTTGTGTGTCTGGGCCCCAAGAACAGGGGTGCCCCGCTGTCGGCTCAGCGGCTGGCGCACTGGGTTGCCACGGCTGTGCGGCGGGCGTATCAGACGCAGGGTCTGGCCCTCCCGGTGGGCTTCAGGTCGCATTCCACGCGTGGGATGGCGGCCTCTACGGCCCTTCTCAGGGGGGTGTCGGTCGAGGACGTATGCCGTGCGGTTGCTTGGGCTTCGTCCTCCTCTTTCGTCCGGTCTTATCTTTTGGATGTGTCGGACCGGTCGGTGGCCCATTCCGTGCTGAGTGCAGCGGACTGAGTTAGACCGTTAGGTCCCTCCTCTGAGGGGGCCTTCGGTTTACTTTCTGCCCTGGTTCAGGAGCTCTTGGGAGAGGCATCCCACAGGTGCGGTACATATATGTGTGTTTTGGTCGGTCTGGTAGTCCACGTCAGGAGCCCTTGGGAGAGGCGTCCTGTGACTACGGATGACCTACGGTCTGTGTTACGTGGGGGTATCCTTGGTAGGAGTGGCCCTGTAACACGCATTGTTTCTTCTGCCCTGAGTCCTCTCACTTGTGAGGGTCTTGCTCGGGCGGAGCTCCAATCACCCTTCGCTGGCCTGCTGGGAGTACATTTTCCTACGGCCTCCGCGTTGTGTCCCACTAGCGAAGTCCTAAGGGACGTAGCACCATGACGTAGAATTAATAGTTACTTAATGTAACTTAAGTTCTACGAATAGGTGCGTAGTCCCTTAGCTACGAGCCCATCAGGCCAGCCCGGCTTGGCAGAGTTCAAGAGGGGGTGCGGCCTTGTGCAGGGGCATTTATAGAGGAAGGTGGCTGGTGATTGGAGCAAATTATTTTGATCTCTCTGGCGTGTGACCTGGGGGTCACGAGTGATATCCCACTAGCGAAGTCCTAAGGGACTACGCACCTATTCGTAGAACTTAAGTTACATTAAGTAACTATTAAATACTTTATCAACTGAGCCACTGTCGCCCCAGCTTAAACTTTTATACATTGTAAAAATGTACTGTAGGTAAAGTGATCACCAGTGCTTGTCAATTTGGCCCAGTGAACTGATTCAATTTTCAGAGAGGATTTGAATCATCATCTGGATGCAAGATTTTTATTTGGAATGGACCTCTGCCTCAAGGTGCTATTCAAGTTGGAGACTGTATTTCTCATCAGGGTTAGTTTGTGCCCTATCTAAGCAACACGAGGAGAAATGGTGTTTAGACCCAAACTAAAATGAGCCCTTCATTTTATAAACATCAAACTAATGTAGTTGTGAGTGCACTGTTTATCATGCACCTGTACCTGTGACAAAAATCTATAATGATAAAATATGTGTCCATTATAGTTTAAAATATTCCACAGTTAAAATGTATGATTACGTGAAAGCATAACAGTTTTCTTCAGCAACATTTTATTTCAGTTTTCAAACAATTCACTTCCACAGCAGCTTAACGCGGGTCCGGTAGTTCCAGGAGCTTCTTGGGAGCCGACGACTGGCTATGTTAGCAGCTTCAAACGGTTATAATCTACAATTCAAGTAGGTCCCATTCATCTAGAAAAGCCCAAAACACCTTCATATCCACAAATCATGAGGCCATACATTTCTCCATACATATCTCTGTACATTTACTTCATTTACAAGAGCAGCTCATTCTGGTGCTCGAGAATGATCCACTGTATGTTTAGCTGAAAGGCCTTTACCAGACTTTGTCCCAAAATATGTAACGTAAAATATGTAAAGTAAAAAGGTCAGAAGTGTAAAGCATATTTTCTTAGAGAAAAACATTTGAGTTAAATATTCAATGTTGCGCTTGGCCCGCTTACTTTTTTATTACTTATTTCATGGGGACCCACACTTTCTCAAACCAAGATCTAGTTTTTCACCAACCATTGAACTGTGATCTACCTCAGATTTATGGTGGGCTTACGATTCAGAACATCACATTTGGTTTGATTCTTGATGCATTTGTGATTCATGATCAACTGATGACAATGTTGTCTTTACGCACAGTTTGTTGGAAGGAAAGAAAGAAATGCTTAAAAGTCATTAGTTCTCAGTATTGCAGATGGTACAAAGTACACATCCATCTGCCACAGATGTACAGTATGTTCTTGTTTTCTCATATTGTAACTGTCACTAATATTTGCTTAGATCAGATTCAGATTCATTTATTGTTAGTCAGAACCCTGTTTACTTTGACCGTACATGCTCGCTGGCGCCGTCTTTTCTTTCTTTCGAGTATATGCCATCAGAATGTATTTGGAGCAGTGATGCTTCTCTCTTGATGCGGCCCGAGCGTAAATGGAGCTCACAGGCTCAATGGGGATGGGCTCAATTGGCGCCTGTTCCCTGTGTGTTCGACGCTATATTCTGTGTGCGAGTGAGGCATCTTCATACTTTACTTGCGTCCATGACACGTATAAACTCTGGTACCGTATGCAAGCTACCTACAACGATCGACCGGTAGATTGAAATTAGCATATACAATTTGATTTGTTTTTTTGGATTATAATAATTTGTCATGTAGTATTGAGCTTTTATTACATTAGCTAATGTGGATAGCTTACGTTGCTAACTCATGCGAGTTTGGCTAAGTCTGGTTAACTCGTGCTCAACTCAAGCTAACTCATGCTAGTGTGGCTAACTCAGGTCAACTCTTGCTAGGTGGTTAACTTGAGCTAACTCGTCATGGGTAGAACTATATACTACAGTGTGACTAACTCGGGCTAGCCTTTCTAGCTTTACACTTTCACCGGTGAAAAGATGCTTCAAAACAAATCACACTGAATTATTATAATGAGAGGGGCTAGGGAATAAATCATGTTTGTAGTGATTTTAAGATTGTAAAATCTGGCACAGGCCTTTATAGTGCAAATGTAATCGGTCAGCGCTGGTTGACAAATGCCTGACACACAAATAAAATACCAACACATTTGATATGTATGAGGGTTTGTAAAAAGGATTATTTACAAAAATACGTTCTAGCACCCGTTTAAACTAAACTGTAGGTAAAAGGGCCAAGTAACAACAAAAATAGACTAAAATCATACAATATGGCTTAAATGGATGTACCACTATGCTTAAAGGAAACATGTTTTGCATTATGCATGTTCCACTGCTCAAAAATGTGTTTCACCTACCACCTATCCATGCCACTCAATACCCCACATATGGTGAGCACAATGATCAAGGAGTGGTATTTTCTCATACTTAAAACTTTATAAAGGCCCTAACAGGTCTCCTTTTGAAGCATTTGAGAACTGCATCACAACATAAATAGCAACATAAGTCAAAAAAAAAAAAAAAAAAACAGGCTTACAAAAACAGAAAAAAATCCTTTTCATCAAATAAACTTCACTTTGCTCACATATAGCTGCTTAGACTTCATTGGTTTGGGTTTCACAGGCAACAATACCAATAAATAATCAGCATACATAAGATAATAAAGCTCTTTTCACTTTTATATTACAACATAACAGTAGAATGTAAACGCGGGTATAAGGCGGAGTCATGGTCGTGCAGTGAGGGAGAGAAGGGACTGGGGAAGATTTATTTGAGAGGAAGCGGGATGTCTGGAGTGGTGGGCGTGGGGACATCCTTGTAAAAGGTGTCGATTTGCTCCTTGTACATCTTGGCCACAACGGGACGCTTCAACTTCATGGTGGGGCCTGCGTGGGAACAATGGGACAATTTGAAAATGCATGTTAAAAAGAGTTCTCATATGTACTTTTAGTTAAATATTTTATAATGTTTGACTAAAAGTGGGGCAAAGGGGTATTTAGTAGTTACCGATTGTGCAAGTTGTGCCACTTTAGAGGGGTCCTTAATTTTGATGTTTAGGTGTTCTATTGGTTTGAGATCTGGAGACTGGCTATGCTGCTCTAGGACCTTGAATTGGAGACATGCTCATTCTGGGCTCATTCTCATAAGGACATCAATGCTGCCACGGATGGAGGAAGGTTTTTGCCCAAAATGTCTAACTATTAATGGCCAAATCCACACCATTAGAGTGACAGAATGAAATGTACACAAAAAACATTGTCATTTCCTGTATTTTTTCACATTCTGTCACTCACAATGCGTACCTATGATGACAATTAATGTAGCATGTAAGAAAAGCATTTCAAGTCATAATTAAATGGCCCTATTATGTCAAAAGTCTTTGACTCACTCTCTACCGCTTAACCAATCAAAGTCCGTGATCTGGGTTGCTAAAACTGTGTCGAGCTATTCTCACTGGTAAAGTACCATGTCTGGTCGTACAAAAAAGGTCTTGTTTAGATTATCAAATCATTAATGACAAATCAAGGAATAAAACGAGGATTTCAATCTAAAACCAAAACCTTTGTACCAGTACCACTTTTGGCAGTTTGGACAGTTTTGGGAAATTTGCTTTTGTTTTTTTCAACCATTCCATGGCAGAGGGCCTTACCCAGCTCTCCTCCACTGATTGAGAAGTCCTTGTCCAGGATGAGCCACTTCTGGATGCGCTGGGCGTTGGAGGTGGCCCTTTTGTTGACTCGGTTGATGCCCTCCTGGATGGCGGTGTGCAGGGCACGGTCCTTCCCTCCTGTGAGCTCTGAAACTTTTCTGGAGGTGCTGCCCAAGCGCCTGAACAGCTCCACGACCTCCGGGGTGAGCTCGTCCTCAGGGGCCCCACTCTCTGCGTTCACCTGGCACTGTACCAGAGTATAAAGGGCAAATGCACACATTGTTTTGGACCTTAATCAATGACATTTACTTTTGTATCTCGAGGGCGACAGTGGCTCAGTTGGTAGAGCATTGGCCTTTGGGCCTGAAAGTCGTGGGTTTGAGCCCATCATAAGACCTACTTCACTCCCACTGTTGCCTGCTGTCGTTGTGTCCATGGGCAAGACACTTAACCCCACTTTGCCTGAAGCCCCCGCTGAAAGATCAAGGCTCTTGTGGACTCACCACCCGCAGGACGATCAGTGGCAGCCACCCCCCCACCAAATGGATTGATGGAGTTTGGATCTTATGTTTTTGCTAGTAACATTTTTATTATAGATTAATGTGTCTAATAGAACAAGGGATTGTCAAGATGAGCACAAAATTCAATTTGTGTAGATTTCGGACAATTTTAATATCAATATTAAATCAATATAATGCTGAAAAAGGAATTCTTCATCTCCATAAAGCTTTCCAGCAGATGGAAGCATGAAGTGCTCCAAAATCTCCTGATAGCCAGCTGCATTGACCCTCCCCTTGATAAAACACAGTGGACCACCACCAGCAGCTGACATGACACCCCAGACCATCACTGACTGTGGGTACTTGACACTGGACTTCAGGCCTTTTAGCATTTCCTTCTCCCCAGTCTTCGTCCACATTCTGGCACCTTGATTTCATCCGAAAAAGTACTTTGAACCATTAAGTAACAGTCCAGTGCTGCTTCTCTGTAACCCAGGAAAGGCGCTTCTGCCGCTGTTTCTGGTTGTGGTTTCTGTAGCCCATTTCCTGCACACGCCTGTGCACAATGGCTGTGGATGTTTCTGCTTCAGACTCAGTCCACTGCTTCCGCAAGTCCCCCAGGTCTGGAATCGGCCCTTCTCCACCACCCTCCTCAAGGTCCGGTCACCTCTCGGGGTTGTGCAGCGTTTTCTGCCACACTTTTTCCTTCCCACAGACTTCCCACTGAGGTGCCTTCATACAGCTCTCTGGGAACAGCCTATTCGCTCTGAAATGTCTTTCTGTGTCTTACCCTCTTGCTTGAGGGTGTCAATGATTGCCTTCTGGACAGCAGTCAGGTAGTCTTACCCATGATTGCAGTTTTGAGTAATGAACCAGGCCGGGAGTTTTTAAAAGCCTCAGGAATCTTCTGCAAGTGTTTAGAGTTAATTTGTTGGTTCAGATGATTAGGTTAATGGCTCGTTTAGAGTACCTTTTCATGATATACTAATTTTCTGAGTTAGGGATTTTTGGTTTTTCTTTATTGTTTTAATATCGATGATTTTGGCAAAAAAGTAAAGGCTTGAACTACTTCAGTTGTGTGTAATAAATCTGAAATATATGAAAGTCGAATGTTTATTAGTACATTACAGAAAATAATGAACTTTATCACAATATGCTAATTTCTTTAGAAGGACCTGCATATTGTTATTGACCGAATTAATGAATGAATTACTTATATTGTGATTTAGTTTTCAGCCATATCGCCCAGCCCTCGTATATAGTGCCGCGCACTGATATGAACACAGGCCCGGCTAGAGGGTGGAGTTATACATGGTAGTTAGGGTTGGGCGAAATGGGCCTCAGCATGTATCACGATTTTTGTTGGTATGTATCACGATATGACGATATGATAATTTTAACAAAGCCTCATATAAAAGCTATAAAAACTTAGCACTGATAATTTTAAACACACTTGCCTCAAAGTGCATTTACTGATTTATTGGCAGCAAAATGTGTAATACAGCTATTGTATATAAAACGTATTAACAAAACTGAATTGTAGAGAATTCTGTTTTGTACATACAGAAAATTGCAGGCAACATGTAATAAAGGTGAACATTTGTAATTTGTAAAATATATAAAAGTTTGTCCTTTGTAATATAAAAAGTGTAGCATTATCAAATAATTATTTGATCACTTTGGCTTATGTTTCCTAATCCCAATATAGTCAAAATGATCAAATACTGTATATATTTTTTGTATCCTTTTGCGTTTCTATAATTATGTAATTATAACTTATTTGTAATTATATTGCAATGTAGACAAACACATGCATTGAAGTAAAATGAATGACAGTAAACAGTAAATAAAGCTTACCAATGGCACTATGAGAGAGAGAGAGAGAGAGCGAGTGTCCGAAGCAAACCACTCGAGTCCAGTTGTTTAGGGCAGCTGCTTTCACAACATTAGATCCACTGTCGATAGTTACACACAATTGCTTCTTTTTATCTAGTTCCCAAACTACTCACATATGTTTGAGGTAGCTTCGCGTTTTGGCACAATGTCTTCTACAATCTGCATGTCTTCACCATGGTCTTCACCGCCGCCCTCAGCCATGTTTGCTCTCTGCTCTGTTGTTGTTGTCCCTGCACGCCGCTCTGCTACACGTGTCGCGCAGATGCGTCATCAAAGTGCGCCGCACACAAACGTGTCTTCCGCTCGCTGTTTTCAGTGTTAAATGATTGTTTTCACCGGTATAAGGCATTTTCTTATCATTTAATTTACTTATACCGGTATACCGGTACAAAAAAAATATTGCCCAACCCTAATGGTAGTGATGTGTTCCAATGAGTTCTGTGTGTACGGAGTGAACGGCCGCAGCTGTAGGATACCCACTACACTCCAACACACTTGAAGGTAACGCTATGTGTCGTCAATGACAATACTATACAGAAAAACAAATACTACATAGAACGCTAGATTCATTGGGTGCGTTCATAATGAATAAATAAAAGTGCCCGAGCCCGGCCTGTGTCCGAGGTAATTATACGGTTATCGGCCCGAATCCCAGGCCTCGGGCTGTCGGGTCCCTTAGGCCTAGGGCTCAAGTGAAAGGCTCTAGTACTCGGTGGTGTGTATATATGATCCCTACTATTACCTTTATGGTGAGCAGCATGGCCAGGAATTTCCTCTTGTCCCCAATGAGCATAGCGTTACTGATAAAGGGCAGCTCCTCTTTGACCGCATCCTCGATGGGAACGGGCGGAATGTTCTCCCCTCCGGCCGTGATGATAAGCTCTGAGAATGTATACACAATACACAACTTTAAGTATGTATACATAAAGTTGTAAAGCACACAGTGGGCAGTGCTTAGGCTGCATCCCAATTCAGAAATAGGCCTCTGTTCTTACCTTTCCTTTTTTTGTTCGTTGGCTATGGTGGCATTCAATTCGACCTAAATGTGGTTTTAAATTTGGTACACTTGAGGTACCAAATTAAAGAAAGGGGTGTGTTTTGGAGGGAGACACTTTTTAAATAGCATCGTATAATGTATACAAAACAAACTTTGCCTACATACAATACCATCCATCCATCCATTTTCTTCCCCTTAATCCATTTCTGGGTCGGGGGGGTTCCCAGAGATGCCACCCAGTATACATAGCACCAGGCCCTCACTGATCCTCCTGCAGATGGTGAGCCCACAGGAGGATGGCCGCTCTATGGCATACAGCCTTGATTTTTCAGCGGGCGCTTCAGGCAAAGTGTCTTGCCCCAAGGACACAACGACAGCAGACATCAGAGGGAGTCGTGAAGTAGGTCTTGTGGTGGGCTCGAACCCACGACCTTCAAGCTCTAAGGCCAATGCTCTACCAACTGAGCCACTGTCGCCCCTTTATATACATAATACAATTTATTGTTGTATAGCCCTAAATCACAACAGCAGTCATCTTAGAGGACTTAACAAAACCATTGAAATCACCAACACAGACCAGAGAATCAACAGTTAAGACACGGAAAATACACATATGCATTGGGAGACCAATAACCATGAATGTTGATAAATGTCCATACATGTTGTGGAATGTTAAAGTAACATTAACATAAGAAATTGTTATCCTGAAGTTTTTAATCTCACGTTTTCAACTGGTTTTTATACTTTTAATTGCATCATTTGTGTTTTTTTATATTGTGTGCTTTTAATTGTATTTTAAAGTTTTAACTACTTGTTCCATGACCTCTCCCCATGCATGGGACTCTGCACTCAGCGCACCTGCGTGGAACGGCGCATATAAGGGCACAGGACACAAAACATGAGGAGAGAGAAAAGGAAAGGGAGGACACAGGGATAGGATTAGGGTTAGGGTTACGCGACCGAGCCAGCGAGGACTGCCGCCAGCCAGAGTCATCAGGGGACTGAGGAGAGCAGGGAGAGCAGCACCGACAATGTGGCCTGGATAAGGGCGCGCAGTGGAACATAGCGGCAGGATGTGTCTGCTCTCCCCTGTGGGTGCCTGGTGACAGCTCGGCAAGGACAGCGGGAACGAGTGGACTGTGGCCGGTTTTATTTGTCTTTTTTTAAAATCAGATTTTACAGCAATTTTAAGGCAATCCTTTTGTACATATTTTATTAAATGTTATCCCCTTGTACCCCTTTTTCATTGGTCGCAACCACACCAAGTCTCCCAGATATCCTTTGTAACCTATGACATACCTTCTGTATAGGTTATCACAATTTATCAATTACTTTTATTTTAGAATAAGGTGATGATGACATCAGTCTGTTCTATACAAACCTGAACTATGATTATTCTTTGCTGATACATCTGCTATGAAGAAAATATGAACATCCACTAGTGTTTCAAATCTCTAAAGGATTCACATAAATATTGTTAGGAAAATTCTCTTCTCTGGGGACCCTCTAATAATCAACAGAAGGCAAATGTAAATGATGAATTAAACCATGATTTGGTGCTTTTTTTCCTTTCGTTTTATTTATCTACATGGTGAACTCACAATAATACTGAGTGTATGTGACTTAGCAGCCATCGTCATATATCAGAATGTGCGGACCGTGTTGCTGAGAAAGATAAAATGGGCCATTTAATGATGACTTGACATGCAAATATTACATATTGCTACATAAAGAATGACTTGAGAAGAAGTTTAAGAAGATTCTTAAGAAGATATTGGTGAATGAGGCCCAATGTTCTTAGAGTCACGGGTTCTAGTCCCAATTAAAGAACAATAGAAAAAGGCCAACTCCACTAGTCTGCACACTTGTTACATTGTATAAGTACATGTTCCACTGTCTCTTCAAACAAGCCATCCCTGAGATTCCTGATTCGAGGAAGGCAATGTTCAAGCTCAGTGACCCTATCATTATGATGACGTGCTCTTTCCTGTTTCCCCAGGTTGAGGCAATAAACATTTAGCAGAGCGTTGGCGCGGTTTTACCTTTTTCATATATGCCATTTCATCTTCATCTGGACCGGGCCTACATTTTCTTTTTGGATTAGTCTCCAAAACTCAATGGTGTGTTGCTCACCTTTGATCCTGCCGGTGATGTAGAGGAAGTCGTTCGCGTCGTGTTTGCCCAGGTCCCCAGAGCGGAGCCAGCCTTCGGAGTCCAGGGCCTCCTTGGTGTTGGCGTCCATGTTGAGGTATCCCATGAAGACATGCCGACCCCACAGGCAGATCTCCCCGTTCCCCTCCTCGTCTGGAGAGGACAGCTTGGTTCTGCAGCCAGCGATCGGCTTACCCACACTGTGTACACACCAAAGCTCATTACCACGACTATTACTCTTATTATTGGTATTCCTGCAGGTGGGAGGGAAGTGTGGGGCACCCGCACAGTCTGGCCCTGCTCTCCACCCTACCCCCTGTGGTCATAAGCTTTGGGAAATTACACAATTTACAAGCGATCAAAACTATTTTCCTCTGGGGGAAATCTTAGAATTTCATCCAAGGGCAAGATTGCCTTTCCCTAACCCTTTACCTAGTGCAATATTATATTCAGTCATGCTTTTTGTATGAGTGGAGGAATACAAGGAAATGTTCTTATGTAACATCTGCCATGTTGTATTTTATATTAATGACAATGTATGAACCTCATAAATAACCCAATGCCAAATACAAATATATTTGACCGGATTTTTGAATGCCGTTCTGTTTTTTACGCATCGATGTCATGTATCCAGGCTTATCACTGCAGGAAAGACCAGAAAAAGGCATAGATTGAGCGCCTCTGATTATACATGAGTTGTGCATACAGTTGTGCACATGTACCTGGTGAGGCGGAAGGCCTCAGGCACAGACACCGTGTGTGGCCCAGAGCTCTCGCTCATGCCAAACAGCTCGTACAGGGGGATGTTAAGGCTGAGGAAGAACTCCAATGTGTCTTTGGTGATGGGCGCAGCTCCGGTAAAGCACTTCGTGCAGCGCTGCAGCCCCAGGGCCTTGCGCACCTTTTTGAACACCAGCTTTTTGGCAATGTGGTAAGAAAAGGGCGGTGGTGCACTCACACCATTTCTGGAAAGAAGAGAGAGTAGTCATTAGTAGAAAATACTAATTAGCACAAATAAATCTTCCCCTTCTGTTCAATGACTTGAATTTTTTGAAATAATTATTAAGACAATTTCTAAGACTTTATAACATCTTTGACAAAGCTGTCATGTGCTTGTTAAAGTTATAGTAATGCTTTTTAAAAGTATTTCTTCGGTCAAATCCAGTTCAATTAGCCCGTACCATGTTAGATTTAGATCTCTATCAGACCACTGAATATTATAAGCGAACATGTTTGATTGGGATTCAGTTTAGGGGTACAGGGATATGGGGATCCCTGTGAAGTGGCCAATTAAACATGCATATGCTTAGCTCTGAAGTCACCAGACCACACTCTGAATAAGAATAACCATATGGGCTCTCACTGGTTGAGTTTGCTGAGGTTGGTCTGTAGTCCCACGTCTTTGGCCCACAATGCAACTTTGCGCCGCACTGTGGAGGACTTTGCTCCGATGGACTTCATCTTCTCCTGCATCTTCTCCCAGACCCGCGGCACGCCCATGAAAGCTGTGGGGCGCACCTCTTTCATTGTGTTCACCAGAGATCCCTGCACGGGACAGAGCCAGATCAGATCAATGAGCTGTCCCATGGGATTACCAACAGAATAAGCATGGCTTCTGTCGCCATGAGCAGAGAGCTGCCCTGGCCCTTGCAGCGTGGGCATTACGGCTACAGTGGACTCACCTTGAGTGCATCAGGCTGGGCGAAGTGCGTGACTCCTCCCACCTTCATGGTCACCCAGATATCCACCATCTGTGCAGCGATGTGACTGAGAGGAAGGTAGCTGACCACCACCTCCTGAGCCTGGGAGGCCGAAGACAGGAGCACATGGCGGCTGGTGGAGAGAGCCGTCCAGGTGAGCTGAGCACATAACACAGATAAAATGTAACACTGAGACAAGTGTGTATATTGAGACAGAGGTGGCCCGAGCCTGCATGTATATTGAGACAGAAGTGGCCTGAGCCTGCATGTCTACTGAGAAAGAAGTGGCCTGAGCTTGCATGTATATGTAGATGGTACCGTGAGACATACGTTGTCATGGCTCAACATGACTCCTTTGGGCATGCCTGTGGTCCCGGAGGTGTAGATGAGGGTGCAGCACTGGTTTGGCTTTTGGCTTGAGATAACAGAGTCGAGCGGGGCGTCCGGCTCGTTGCGGCCCAGCTCCATGAACTCTGCCCACTGCCACACACAAGGTTGTTGATGTTAAACTGCGGCTCTTACAGGTGGAGATTAGCTCAGTGTGGTGTGATGTATAGTCTTACAGAGTACAGGTTTGGCCTTTTCTCTTTCAGCTCCTGTTTGTACTGGATGATTGCCTTCAAGTGTGGCAGCTTGTCCTCCACCTGCAAACATCAAACATAGTTTTCCCGATAGGCTCATTACTACTGCACAAAAACATTTCAACCAAAAAACCCACACACAGTGAGACAGGCTAGTGGGATAAAATGTTTAAACTACCTTGTGACTTTTATAATGAAGCATGTTTTCCATGTGAAAACTCAGACCTCAGACCAGGGCCGCGGGAAGTATTTCTTAATGGGGGTGCTGTTTTGTTTTGTTTTTTTACCTAACCTCTGAGCCTATAAGACTTTTTAAACATACATAACAGATTCATTCATTGTTTAGATAAGTTACACTATCCACCTCAAACAACTCATACGCAAAATGATATGCGCCACTGTGAACACAAACATGAAGCGACAGTGCGCTGCAACCTTTGAGCTGCCGTAGTTACAGATGTCCGAATGTGGAGGTGCGCTCTGGGGTTGTGGAGATAGTCTTATGAGGGGACGAATGTTCAGAGAATACAGAATCCTGAAGGGGGCATGCATCAGTGAAAGATATGCAAGTCTTTTCTGGGTCATTGTGCCCAGTCTTTTCTGGGCATGTGTGTGTCTCAAGAAGACACACACGTCTTCAAAAGACGCAAAGCGGAGAAAGTGCGCTGAGATGAGGCAGAGATTGGCAGCACAAACATAACTATCAGTTTTTCCACCTCTGAAAACATGGTAATGCATGGCCCAAGCATTTTGAGCTTGACTTCAAGGTCAAACTCCAAGGAGAGCTGTGTTTACTGGGCAGAGGCAGATGGATAAGCCTAGTCTCGTTGCTCTTGCTACTGTCCTTTGTCACGGTTGCGGCAGTGTTCTTTTTCGGAACTGGAGGGTTTCCAAAAAAATCTGGTACTATGAGCATTGGGTGGCAGCTTTCATTGCCACCCCCCCGACCCAGAAATGGACTAATAAAGGGGTTGGAAATGAATGAATGAATACCATGTTTTTCTGCTGTTGAATTATTTACTCTGCTGCTGCAGCTATGAGCGGGAAACCAATTGTCAACGTAACTTCCTACATGTTTAGGCCAAAAAATAATTACATACAAATTTGAATACACAGCCTACCGGTGTCAAATCACTTCCCAAAACATTAATGAATGTATAAATTGTGCTAAATATTATTATTATTTATTTTTATTTTTTTTCATATCCCCCCTCTCCCAGCAGGGAGTGCTGCAGCACCCCCAGCACCCCTCCTTCCCGGCCCTGCATCAGACACATGTTAGCGTGTGCAACATGTGGGCCAGGTGAAAAAAGTTAAAAAACTCCAAACAATATTTTGAATAATTACAGCCCTGTCAGAATTTTATTTTATATACCGGTCTTCTCTGTGCTGAAAAGAAGACATTTCTGTATTCATTAGAAAGAGAAAAGTGGATATGCATCACCTGTATGATTTTCTGCATCTGCTTCTGGTTCTCCACTACGATGATGTTGGCCTTACAGTTCTCTGCTACGTACTGACAGGCCTCTGAGGAGTTGGTAGTGTAGATGCCCACTGCAAACCCACTGCCGAGAGAACAAGTAAGTAAGTAATCTTTATACGTATAGCGCATTTTTACAGACCAAGGTCAGCCAAAGTGCTTTACAATGTTCAGGTCATATATTATTCCATTCTCTCCACACACGGTGATGACAAAAGCAAGACGCTGAACACACTGGCGCATCAAAGCCCCAACCAACACCGTCCACTAACTCACTCATTACATTCATACCTATTGTGCATGTTTAGTGGTAGGTTCCCGGAGGAAAGCTACGCAGACACAGGGAGTACATGTGTCCAGTGTCTGCGTAGCTCTGTTCAGACCGTGATTTGAACCTAGGAACTTCTTGGTGAGAAGGGAGTGTGCCATCCACTCATCCAACCATCACCCAGTGTCAACATCAGTTTCATTTATTCAATCAGATGAGAAAGAGATGGCGTTCAATGACATAAACTCTGGAATGTGTTCTTTATAGCTGGCAGAAAAATGTCATGTTATAAAGTATAGCTAAATTTCCACTGGACCAGAATGGTATGGAACAGAATAGATCCAGTGTGTCCAGTGCTGGCCCAAGCCTTTAGGGGGTCAGGGTTAATGTCAATAAGAAATCCTTGGAATGTATTTCCATGTGTGTCCATCAGTTTTAAAGCTGGGGTAACAAACTTTTATTTTTCAATTATACCTTCCGTTTGTCTGAAAAGAAAGACAAAGAACAATCTTTCTTTGGCTTAAGGAAGACAGAAACTACAAGGCTTTTTTGAATAACATGCAAAAATAAATAAATACATATTTTAAAAAAAATATGTGCATATTGTGATCAAGTTCATTATTTTCTGTTGTGTACTGATAAACATTAGACTTTTATATTTTAGATTCATTACACACAAATAAAGTAGTTCAAGCCTTTGTTGTTTTAATATTGATGAATTTGGCAAAGAAAGTAAAGAAAAACCAAAAATCCCTAACTCAGAAAATTAGTATATCATGAAAAGGTACTCTAAACGAGCCATTAACCTAATCATCTGAACCAACAAATTAACTCTAAACACTTGCAGAAGATTCCTGAGGCTTTTAAAAACTCCCGGCCTGGTTCATTACTCAAAACTGCAATCATGGGTAAGACTACCTGACTGCTGTCCAGAAGGCAATCATTGACACCCTCAAGCAAGAGGGTAAGACACAGAAAGACATTTCAGAGCGAATAGGCTGTTCCCAGAGAGCTGTATGAAGGCACCTCAGTGGGAAGTCTGTGGGAAAGAAGAAGTGTGGCAGAAAACGCTGCACAACCTCAAGAGGTGACCGGACCTTGAGGAGGGTGGTGGAGAAGGGCCGATTCCAGACCTGGGGGACTTGCGGAAGCAGTGGACTGAGTCTGAAGCAGAAACATCCACAGCCATTGTGCACAGGCGTGTGCAGGAAATGGGCTACAGAAACCACAACCAGAAACAGCGGCAGAAGCGCCTTTCCTGGGTTACAGAGAAGCAGCACTGGACTGTTGCTCAATGGTTCAAAGTACTTTTTTCGGATGAAATCAAGGTGCCAGAATGTGGACGAAGACTGGGGAGAAGGAAATGCCAAAATGCCTGATGTCCAGTGTCAAGTACCCACAGTCAGTGATGGTCTGGGGTGTCATGTCAGCTGCTGGTGGTGGTCCACTGTGTTTTATCAAGGGGAGGGTCAATGCAGCTGGCTATCAGGAGATATTGGAGCACTTCATGCTTCCATCTGCTGAAAAGCTTTATGGAGATGAAGAATTCTGTTTTCAGCACGACCTGGCACTTGCTCACAGTGCCAAAACCACTGGTAAATGGTTTACTGACCGTGGGATTACTGTACTCAATTGGCCTGCCAACTCTACTGACCTGAACCCCATAGAGAATCTGTGAGATAATGTGAAGAGGAAGTTGAGTCACCAGATCCAACACTGTGGATGAACTTAAGGCCACTATCGAAGCATCCTGGGCCTCCATAACACCTCAGCAGTGCCACAGGTTGATCGCCTCCATGCCACGCCGTATTGAAGCATTCATTTCTACAAAAGGGTTCCTGATCAAGTATTGCGTGCATAACAGAACATCATTATTTGAAGGTTGACATTTTTTGTATTAAAAACACTTTTCTTTTATTGGTCGGATGAAATATGCTAATTTCTTTAGATAGGGATTTTTGTTTTTCCTCTACTTTTTTGCCAAAATCATCAATATTAAAACAATAAAAGGCTTGAACTACTTCAGTTGTGTGTAATGAATCTAAAATATATGAAAGTCTACTGTTTATCAGTACATTACAGAAAATAATGAAGTTGATCTCAATATGCTAATTTTTTAGAAGGACCTGTAATAGCTGTTTGTCAAGAAAGATATGTAGGTCAGATGAGCCTGTGCAGAGGTGATGTCCTATTGTGAGTATGTGCGTGGAGAGACGCCTTTAGTACGACTGGTTCTACAGGTCCACAGGTTTCAGGCCAGTCACGTTCCAAAGCAGCCTTCCAGTTTCTCACAGCATTTCTCAGCACAGAAAATGGGGTAATGAGCTGACACGTGCATGTGACTATAGAGCAAACTATGGCAACAAGTTAAACAGAAGAATATACAAATACAAAATCATTATATACCTGTAAAGTCTATTGAAGACAAATAAAATGTATCTACGAATTAACAAAGGATAAGGAAGGGATTGTACCAGTCCTTTTAAAATTATTTCAAAAGATCATATATAATTTTTTATAATTTTAATGTTTCCTCGAGTTGCGAGTTGCCTGTGCATAAAATGTGCTGTACATAGAAACCAAATTAACCATGACAATGACGATCAAATTGTGCGTGTGAATGTATACGTGTGTGGAGTGGTGACCTGAGCACAGACACTCACACAGAGCCACGTCCCAGTGAAACTTGAGTAAATGAAAAAGCATTCCGCCTATCAATCAAAGCGTAAAAAGCAGAGTGTATACGTGCACTCAAGTAAACTACATAATAAATTCCTTCAGTCTTTAAAATGTACCCTTTGGAAAACTGTAGATGCAGGTTTCATCTAGAGAAATTTCACACATCTTTAAAATAAATGTTTATGCTGATTGTCGAGGCCATGGAAGGAGATGAAAGGAGCTTGTTTTTTTTTGACGCTATGAGAAGCTAGAATATTCTAAGTGTAATCTCATAGTATCTAGCAAAACAAAAAATTGGGTAACCCTTTGTAGAAAATATTCTACTATAGCATGTTATATTTCATTTTAGATCAAAATTTCTCAGGATTTTTTTATTTATTTATGTCACTCCGAAAAATTAACCCAACATAAAAATTTGTACCAATTCATGATGACAAGAAAATAGTCTGTAATTCATTCATTTTACTGCAAAATCTTCCTAAATTGAATATTGAAACCCATATTCAATACAAGTAATAACATAATACAATAACCACCATACCATGGCTTTATATCATAACCTCTAAAAGATCCTAATTTTTATCAAGAGCAGTGTTCCCCAACCTTCTTGAGCTGTGGCACACCTTTTTCATTGAAAACAATTGAAAACAATGACATACCACTAGCTGAAAATTATCCAAAAATTAAACTCTGCTGCCTTTATTAACAATAAAAAGTCAAAGTGTATTTTATTGAAAAATCAAACAAGTCTATTTAATCTTCTTGCATTATTTTGACCAATTGGGTGGTATTGGATCATTTCCAAAGGTACACCAACACAGTACAGCAGACTGGTTAAAAAACACTGAACTAGAGTATTAGCATTAGCACTACCATGTGTATTTGCTGTTTTAAACAAACATACAATACATAAAATAAAGGTCAGTATAATTTTTAAAATTAGCATCTAGTCAGTTATGCACTTATGCTGAGCTTCTCACCCGGCCAGAATGGCACCAATGTCAGCGATGAACCACTCCACAGAGTTGAAGCCCAAGATGCCGACCCCACGATAACGCTCCAGCCCCAGCTGTGTGTACACACATTAATTGCACTTAGGTGAAATACTAAATTGATGTGTTCGAAATGTCATATAGGATAAATAATGCTCGTCTCATCTTGTTATATTGAAAATATCATATTGTCACTTTGGAAGGAGAGCCTCACCTTGAGAAAGCTCTTTGCGGCCGTGCGACAGCTCTGGTAGTACTGTGTATACGTCAGGCTCTTCTGCTGCTCGCCATCCTTCCAGCTCAGAGCCATGTAGTCTCCAAAGTTCTCCACTGTGGTACTAAACATCTGGTGCACAGTGAGGGGTGTCTCTGCGCTGATGCCGGTCTCTCCCATACGCAGTTTCACCTGGCCATTGGCCTGGGACGTCCAGAGAGCACAGTCCGAAGACGAGGGGATGGAGAGGGAAGAGGGCCGCGCTCCATTCACTGCTCACACAGAAGACAGAGGCAAAGAGCCAACGTTAGACATCATTTGTGTTAATTTTGTCCCTGTAACATGATCCATCTTTTGTTTTAGAATGTCAAATTATGTAATCTCTCTAAGAATGTTAGGCTCCTTCACTAGTTTTCACATGCGTGCTTTTTCAGCCTCTATCTTTAGATAAGTAGATAAGACAGAAAAATGAAAATAAAGATCACCCTCACTCAGCCTAATTAGCCCAAAGAGCCAAATAGTGACTCAAAGGTTCTTAACTTTCTCCACTTTACCAGTGCATCTGTTACACAATTTGTAAAAAACATAGATAGATAGATATAGATAATTTATTGATCCCATAGGAGAAATTCAAGTGTCCAGTAGCAGCAAAAATAATAAATTAAATTGATCATTCTAAAATGCTAACAATACAGTAGTAATAATCAGCAACAGCCCTGAGGTGGAGTAGCTGCTGGGTGGATTAGGACAGGTCACAAAGTAGAGTAGCCGCTTGGTTCAGACCATTTTCTCTGCTCTAGTCCAAAGTAAAATACTAAATGCTTCATAAGCATTTTTCAAAAAGTCTGCGTTCCTCTAGTGGATGTTCGGACCATGAATCATCTCCGCTTCGGTCTGGACCAGTGCAAAACCATGAAAACTGTACTGCAGCATAGGGGTGGGCGATGTATATTGTAGACAATAATAGTGCAAAAGTGAATTTGACTACATTCTTTATTGCATTATCGTCAATAAAATAAATAAAAATAGATTGGTCTTATTTTCTTTTTTTACATATCTCCATTGCATTTTACAATTAGAGCAGGCAAGATGCCCATTCGTCAAATGCGTACCTAAAAAGCCAACCAGGGCTTTATTTGTACATTTCAGTAAATATTGAGAAAGTCTTTTTGGATGGGTTCTTCCTGTGTTACTTTTTTGCAAAGATGTGCGAAGCACTTTACAAATGAAAAGCTGCTATTTTGATCCACACTGTCTGGCAAGCAAAACATTGCAGATTATTTTGTGTAAAAGATGTTGTGACAATATCGTTATCAGGAGTTGGGGAAAAACATATCTCGATATTTATTTTTTTCCCATATTGCCCACCCCTACTGCAGCAACATCTCAAGTAGAAAGAAGCAAGGGTAATAAAAATTGTAAAGCCCAAAACAACTGTTTCAGAGCTACTTAGGGGTTTCATCAGTTTTCCAGCGCTTTCAAAAGAAACATACACTATTCACAGAAACTGTTAGCAGCCATCATTGTTATGAAAAGGAAGTGCCCCATTGTGCATTCGTGATCACGCATCATTAGCCTCAATAGTTTACATTTGTGATATCAGTCTGTTTTGGTTTCATCATCACTGTATCCAAAATCATATGTTAGCTTTTAAAGCTGCGCAGGGTAGGGCTGGGCAATGTGGCCAAAACTTATTGTGACACTAGGAATTTACACAGTAGGTGTTCACAGCACGTAAGAGTTGTCACGCAGCCGACACACGTAACATTACACAGGTGTTTACACACTGCCCGAGCGCACAGGAACGCGCTGTTCTTGTGTGGTCTATGAAGACGTCTAGAGGAGAGTACGGGCCAGAGAACCGATGTGGAGCAACAAAAATCACACATATACGTTTGTCCTCCTGGTCTCTGTGAGCTCGTGTGGTCAGACCCTAGACTTGAACAAAGTAAAACCTGCCAGCCCTTATGCTAATGTGTAGATACGAGTGCTGTGGGCGTGTGGAGCTGATCTAGAGCCAAGGACTGCTAGAAAAAACGTGTTTCCCCTGTGTTGACTGGGAGCTGCATCTGTGCAAGCAAAGTTAGAAATCCATTTTAATTTAGGCGCAGTCGCGCATATTAGACTACTTGTTTAAATATTACAATAGGTAAAAATGGAAAGATGTATGCTGCGTGACAACGCTTACGTGAAGTAACACGCCTATGGTGTAAATTCCCCATCACAGTAACGATACAACTCACAATATAAATGGTGCTGGGGAAAATCTTCAAAACTGCCATCAAAAAAATACAAACAACTAAAATGTAATTGATCAGTCTTATTGGTCCCAAACAGTTTGCTTCTATCCCTACTTTTCACATGCCTAGAATTTTGGCCTCTGTCACATCTTTAGATCAGCTTTTCTTGACAAAAAAGTTAAAAGGTGAGAATCACCCTCACTCACCCAATCAGCTCTTAGTATGTAAAATATATAATATTTTCTCAGCATGTTGTGGTCTGTTTTCTTTACAAAATGTTTTTACAGGACTCTTTCTGTTGGACAAAAAGGTATATCACTCAACCCTAGAGTGGGGTCCCTTTACTCGCAGATAAAAAGCAGTCTATGAATCTTCGCATTTTGTATGGAAGTATTTCTTGCAGCCCAGGACAAAATGCCAAGATTTTAGTGAGTCACTACAAGAGTCTGCCTTTCAGGTTTACCATGTCTGAAATCACTGCATGTAAACACATATTAAACAGGCAAGTTGGAGACTCCATATTATTACCTCTTGACACTTATGGCAAGGCAAGGCAAGGCAAGGCCAGTTTATTTGTATAGCACAATTCATACACAAGGCAATTCAAAGTGCTGAACAAAAAAAGGAAGCATTAAAATCATAAATAATCACAGAACATTAAAAAGAAAGATAAAAATATAAAATCCCTCAGTTGTAGCACAGCTAAACAGAACTGTCTTTAACCTGGTTTTAAACATTGTCAGAGAGGAGGCCTGTCTCACATATTCAGGAAGACTGTTCCAGATTTTAGCAGCATGAATCTGAAAAGCAGCCTCCCCATGTTTAGTTCTGACTCTGGGCACTAACAGGAGTCCAGTCCCTGTGCTCCTCTTATGCCATTAAAACAGCTCAAAATGGGTTTTTTCAATGTTTTATTTTTATTTTTGCATGTCAAAATACAAAACATGCACAAAAGCATTATATCCTCTTAATCTTGTCTTTGGCCTTAAACTATGCAACAGCTTGAGTTGGAAATGTTAAATGACAGGAAAAAGGAAGAAATGCTTTCCTGCCAAAGAATGCTGTGTTCTCTGTCAGTACTGTTCTGGGAAAACAGATAGCGCTGCATTACTGATATACTGTACGCTCATGCCTGAAAGTTTTAAAGCCATAATTGGACTTTCACTTGTTGTCGTAATGGTTCTTTTTCACCGGCCTAAAATGCACTCCACCTGTTACTCCATATGCTACCACCAGAAGTAGAGTATATGTTTTTTAATTGACTATTACCTGCTGTTAACACAGACATGTGATTGTAAAGAAAACGGTTTTTTTTTTTTTAAAAGACAAAAAACTGCTCTGAGCTTGAAATATAGCGTTTGAGTACAGTTTAGTGGTACAATGACATCATACACGACTACAGGAGCTTTAAGACAGATGGGGTGGAGCTATATGTTTGTGCCATAAGTTCCTGATTTAAGCGTGGATGGATCTAAAAAAAAATCTATATCAGTCTGTGACTAATCGGGAAGAATTTTGTAACAAATATTTTTTGCTGAAAATAACAAATTGTCAAAAGCTAGGAAGAGATTATGTACTGTATGTTATGTCCCCATTAATTAAATTCTTTCTCTCACCAGTTTGAGCTGTGGCTTCATCATTGGACCCATTATCCTCCTCTCCCTCTGCGGGGGACTCTTCCTCAGATGAGTAGCTGTGGAAAAAACCACCAAAGGTAAGCAGGTCCCTGAGGGGATCACACCTCTCTGAGGGAGATGATATGAACTCAAGTGAAAAGCACATTGAGAAACCATGGTAGGAACCTTCACTAAGCAGCGTGTGAACAAGCGCTCAAAATATAGTTCCATTTACCATACATGGAGCAAAGACATGCCAAAAATGAATATAAGACTACCATGTCCATACCATCTTACTGTAGAATCGGATTCTACAGTAAGATGGTATTGAAGTCTTGATTTGTATTGGTTTTGATATTAAAACCAATACAACCAAAAAAGGTCTACAACTGATGATGATACAGTAAAAAGTCAAGATGACAGACTCATTATAAGCAAAGTGAGCTATATCACGCCTTTGTTTTTGAAAAATGACAAACTTTGGGGCAAATCAAGTTTATTATAATATGTTTTAACAGAATGTTTATTCAGCAAACCATACTCAATAAAAATATAAAGGCACTTTTGTTTTTGCTCCCATTTTTCATGAGATGGACTTAAAGATCTAAAATTCATTCCAGATACACAATATTACCATTTCCCGTCTAAATGTGTGATAGTGACAACTTCTGCTTTACTGAGATAATCTATCCCCACCTCACAGGTGTGCCACATCAAGATGCTGATCTGACATCATGATTAGTGCACTGGTGTGCTTTAGATTGTCCACAATAAAAAGGCCACTCTGAAATGTGCTCAGAACCAGTCAGTATCTGGTGTGACCACCATTTGCCTCATGCAGTGCAAATCATCTTCTTCGCATAGAGTTTATCAGATTGTCAATTGTAGCCTGTGGAATTTTGGTCCACTCCTCTTCAATGGCTGTGCGAAGTTGCTAGATATTAGTGGGAACTGGTGCACGCTGTTGTATACGCTGGTCAAGCACATCCCAAACATGCTCAATGGGTGACATGTCCGGTGAGTATGCTGGCCATGCAAGAACTGTGATATTTTCCGCTTCCAAGAATTGTGTACAGATCCTTGCAACATGGGGGCGTGCAATATCTTTCTGAAACATGAGGTGATGTTCATGGATGTATGGCACAACAACGGTCCTCAGGATCTCATCACGGTATCTCTGTATTCACAATGCCATCAATAAAATCCACCTGTGTTCTGCGACCATAACAAATGCTTGCCGATACCAATTGTTTGGTTATACAAACCAATTGTTTCAGCAGCTGTCTCAGTGGCTGGTCTCAGATGATCTTGGAGGTGAACCTGCTGGATGTGGAGGTCCTGGGCTGGTTACACGTGGTCTGCGGTTGTGAGGCCGGTTGGATGCACGTTTATTTTATTATTAAACGGTACTTCCGCATTGGCAATCACGCTCAAAGCAGTTGTATATCACGGGAGCATGAAAACGCATATGTTCACAAGCACAGAGTCCCCCATTGTCAACCCTGGTTTAGTCCTGGTGTAGCTCCGGTTTTGACTGTTTACTATTTTTTGTTTGTTTTCAGTCTGCTCGCTCAAACCGCTAATGTCCCCGTGACCACTTTGCGGCTCTCTGATTGGTAGCTGCACAAGCGTCCCGAGAAAACGCTCAGCAATGTTTAGCCCCTGCGTGCGTTGATCTTTCGCTCCTGCGCCTCTGCCGCGACTTTGCTGCGCAGTCCGTGCGTCTCTACCGCGCAATCCGTGCATTCATCCCGATGCGTACATGCAGTTCCACGCTCGAACGCGCGTCACCATTGACTTTGTATTGAAAGTCACCGCAACGCATGATCCGGTCTGAATGCGGCATTAGGCACACCTGCGCACTAATCATGATGTCAGATCAGCGTCTTGATGTGGCACACCTGTGAGGTTTATCTCAGCACAGCAGAAGTGCTCACTATCACACATTTAGACAGATTTGTGAGCAACTAGGGATGTAAAAAACTATGAATTTTCATGACCGACCACCGAGCCTCATTAACCGGTTGAAACCGGTTAACCGCGTAGTTTAAAATAGTCCACGTTCTTTGAAATAACAGCCATTTCGAGCAGCGTACTTTTCATATGTGCAGCTGAGCGTTCTAATGGATCAGAGCCGAGACAGCGGCACCAAAACCCGCAACAGCTTGGGCACTTTTGCGCACAGAGAACTGCTGTTTTAATCTTCCCATTCTTCTGTGCTGCGGCTTAAAGCATTTTTAAGCAAAAGACAGCTCGTCCACATGGTTAGGGCAGCGAGTGACGAGCCGCGTCTCGCAGGTCTCGCAGGTCTCCGCTAAAGTTTAAAAGTGATCAGTGTGGAGCTGATGCCAAGGACCAGCAGCACAAACATGGTCCATGTGGTTTGACTGGAGCCGTGTATTTGCAAGAATGCTTTGGGCTCCGTGACACAGAGGAGCGCGACAGACCGGTATGTGTGTGTGTACAATACATGTATGTATGTGTGTGTAAATATAAGCTCCAATGTAGTTCTGACCCGCACCAGTGTGCAACTAGCAGACGGTAACACAGGGGAGAGATGATGCGTGTGGATGTTACATGTCAATGGAGGGGGGGGAAATGTGTGTGTGTGTGTGTGTGTGTGTGTGCGTGTACGTGTACATGTGTGCGTGCATATGTGGCGCATACGGCGTGAGAGTCGGCCCAGAGTTTACTGTTACATTGGCGCACACAGCTAGATAGGGACCCGCTCGTCACATCGTGCAAATAGGGCTTAAAATAGCGTTATGAAGAGACCTCCCCTCTCCCCCTTTTCTCTTTTTTAACCGACAGCTTTGACCGGTTAACGCTGTGACGGTCAACCACCGGTTAAACGGTCACCGATTTACATCCCTATGAGCAACGTTTGAGAGAAATGGAAATATTGTGTATCGGGAATGAATTTTTTATCTTTAATTCCATCTCATGGAAAATCGGAGCAAAAACCAAAGTGTTGCGTTTAAATTCATTTTGAGTGTATATGAAGTCATATTTTGGGGTGGATGGATATAGTTTTAGCATTTAAAGCGAAGGTACATCACTTTTAACGACATGCTGCCTTTACTTTAATAATTGTCATGTACACCAAATGCAATTTAAGAAATTCCCCTAAAAATTGTGAGTACCACAATATAATTTTGTTTTTTTTATATTTATTTAATAAGGGCATAACAATAACATTGGACGAAGTGTTTCAATACTATGAATGGAAAGAGTTTTAAAAATGTGTTTGGACAGAAGGGTAGAGCAATGCGTGCACAAATTCCTGCTATTGGCATGGAAGCAGGTAAAAAACAACACCAGGGGATTGACGGATTGGTTTGTGTCTTATTTAAACACTGTTAAAAATAATTGTATTGATTTTTAAAGCTGGTTTAGTTTGTACATTTATTCATGAAAAAATAACAACTTGAAATCACACTTTCATAATGTGATAATAACTGCACATGGTGACATAGAAATATAAATAAACCTAAAGAACAATATGTCGTCTTTGACAGTGGTCGCCAAGTTTGATAAATGACCGGATCTTTCTATAAGTCTTGGTCACTTGACACAGTAGTGCTAAATTGTAAACAAGCGTGCCTGTTTACATTTTTAACCGTATGTGCGTGGAGGTTGAAATCTAAACAAAGTTCAAGCGGCACACACATGCTTCACAAAGGCTCTAATGAAGTTTTACACACGCAATCTGAAGAGAAGAGACGCCTGAAAGAATGGTACGTCTGTGGGGGCTTAAAACCATGATGATCAGAGAAGCCAGGACATGGGTACGTGTAGGGCTGAAACAACTAATTGATTAATCGACGACTAATCGATTATTGAAATAGTCGACAACTATTTTAGTAATCGATTAATCGTTTTCTGGTTCACACGGACTCAAACAGAGCAAAAATGACATGAAAATGTAGTATTTTTGATTAAAACCGACTTTGTTTTTATAATTTCATGAATATCTGTCTGTCTCATCCAATCAGATTGCAGAATTAGCACAAAGAGCCTGTTACAGACATTTACTTTAAGTTTACGCCATCAATACGCCCTCGAGTGTTGCCACTTTAGCTTTTTGTGATGAAAAAATAAAAATGTTCTACACAATTCACAGCCAAGCGATTACTCGATTAATCGTAAAAATAATTGATAGATTAATCGATTATACAAAATAATCGTTAGTTGCAGCTCTAGGTACGTGGCAGCACTGTGGCTAAAAGCTCAGATTGTTATTAACTTTCACCACGGCGCGGCATCCGCATCACGGTAAGAAAACAGAATCGTCAGACTCACGCTGTTGATATCCTGTATTTCACCCAGAATACAGGTTATGTATTCACCCAGAATACAGGTTATGTATTCACCCAGAATACAAGTTATGTATTCACCCAGAATACAGGTTATGTATTCACCCAGAATATATAGCCTGTATTCTGGGTGAATACAAGCCTCAAATATGCTTGAGGACAAGCCTCAAGCATATTTAAGGCTTGTCCCCTGAATACATTTTGTTGAAACATAGTAGTTAGACTATTGCTCCGAACGGGTCAGAACATCCTGAGGGTTGTGTTGCAGATTCTGCCTCATTCTCATTCGGTGTGAACAAAGTTACATATCGCGCATACGTGCCTCCTATTGCTTTAACTCTGCCTTTTGGTGCATGTTTGCGGTGTTGACACGTTTGCTGTTAGGACGCCCGTTTCTAGATTTTTGCATCATTCTTTATCCAAAACATTCTTGTTCGGGTCGTTCTTTTACATATCTGTAGTCCTCCATGATCCCTTTTCCCAACTTGTCAGGGCACTTTGAAGCAAAGATATAAGTCACACCTATGAAACGAAAATGCGATTCTCGCAACTGTTTTGTCCCTTATCAACCAATGTATTTCAAGATGGCGCATTGAGATGGAGAGTCCTCCAGCTCTCATGTGCATTCATAGGCAGTGACGTGCAGTCAGGTGAGGCCCGGCTATACTTACGATCATGGAAAGACAAAAGAATAAAATGGAAACAATAACACTTTATCAAGTGATTTGTGCTATTGTAATATTTCAATGTAACTTTGCCTTATTAGACTGCTTGCATTCACCTATTGGTTTCACAATGGTTAATGCAAGCAGTCGCGGTGTGTGACGGACGCATCAGTGCCCGTCACTCACCAAAACGTGACGGTTGCGTGCGTAAACTCAAACGCTTTAAAATTGATGGTGCATGTATTGAGATGATGTGGAGCAATTTTCAGCCAAATCGGTGAAACGGCCGAGGCTGGTTTGATGTTTGTGTGAGGTGTACATTTGCCATTGACAAAGAATGGGGAGCATTTGTTGTCACCACGACAACAGACTAAAAAATGAAAGGTACCAAAAGTGTGATAAAGAGTGTAAACAGCATCTTTGACTTATTCAGAGAAGGCGACGGTCCAAACAAACTGAGAGAAGACACCAGCATGAGTTCCATGAAATTAGTTCTATCAAGCTCCAACTAAAACCAATTTTACAAGTTTCAACCCAGTATTCAGCAGAAAACACAACAACTGTAATTGAACCATGAATCCATGTTTCACTCTAACTATGTTTAGTAAAAGATATAGATATGACACATACCATCATGTTTTAGACTTTAGAACTTCCATTCCTTCGTCCCTCGCGCTACCTTCGCTAACACTTATTTACACTCATTCGGGTGGCACCATCGAGCTCAAACTGACCGTATCCGCAAACCGGGTCGGACCATAGATCCATGACTCCAGCCCGTGGAAACGGCCCTAATGTTCGCAAATGTTGAGTTCTTCAAGCTTGCTCCTCATCTGAACCGAGTCAGAGTCCTCAAAATCAGAATCACTGTCATTACTGTCAAGTACGAAAGGGCTCATAAATAAAAAACGCCTGACTTGTATTGTCCATCACTGAATAACAAATATCTGTTTAAAACGTCCGTATACAACGTTACGGCTTACAAATGCCGCAACAAAGCCCAAAGACCCCTTGTCACTTCCGGTCGCGGCAATTTTTTGCGAATGTCTTTTTGTATGATATTTATTGATAGAAACTATCTGTCAAAATGAGTTTTATTTAACACAAAATAAGATTAGGTCCCTTTTAAAGCATTTGAGTTTACGCACGCAACCGTCACGTTTTGGTGGGTAACTGCAACCATTCACCATTGCGAAAGCAATAGGCCCTTACCCCAGTCGGGGCTCGGGCCTAAAGATTATAATTGATCATTTTCACACGTGTCGGTTGGAAAGCGGCGAATCCTCGGCCGTTTCAATTTTTTTACACAGGGTTAATCACATTTAGGTTTTCAAAATGTTTGACATTTTGCACATAATTTTGTTTTGCCCACTTGATTCAATAAGTCAATGAGACCTAATTTTTTTTTTTTACCCTGATGCCGTGGCGACAGCAAATGCTCCCCATTCTGTGTCAAAGGCAAATGTACACCTCTTACAAACATCAAACCAGCCTCGGCCGTTACAAATTTGGCTGAAAAACAATCCACATCATGTCAACACATGTACCATCAATAGTTGTTCGTAGAATTTTGATTATTCACATGGTCATCCAAAGGAGAATTTATATGGACTCACTCACAGATTATACATATGATATGCTCCAGTTAACATATACAAAGTCTGATTTGTACTAAACTTGACTCGGTTGTTCAACTCCTGGGCCTAGGTCACCTGAATGTGTGAAATATTTAATTGGCTCATTAGCGCCCCCAACCAACTGAGTCAAAGTTTTACATGGGAAGCCAAACTACCTGATCATATTCATTACAATTTTACGAACATTGTTCTATGGCTACGGGTGCAAATAATGGCGCAGTGGCGCCCCCTCCCTTGAGCGTTGGGGCGAGGACCGTTCGACACTGCTTGCGGCTTTATATTCATTTATTTTTACCTTGAAATCGGCGATCTTTGTCATATTTGTCTCATTGGACAGAGCAGCGTGCTGTGAGGCGAGCCTCTCATGGGAAACGTAAAAGCCTACAACTCACAGAAGGAGAAGCCCGTGCAGTGCTATCGAATTGTTTCCTCTGTTTATCGCTGTTTACAAAGTTCAAACATATTTACTTTACAATCAACATGTCTACAGGAGAGGATGAGTCATAAATTGTGTTTTTGTAAACAAATATGGGTCTTTATCGCGCTCAACCGCGGCTTGTAATGTCGCGAGCCTCAGGGTAGGGGGTTTATTCTTTGAGCCCAGAATTCGGCAGCATCCGATTCCATCAGAAAGCGTCCTTTTTGATCTTCCCCTGCTAAGGGCAGCTACAAGTTTGGCTGACATACATAACACATTTTAAGATGATTTAAAAGCCATTCATCCATTTTCTTCCCCTTAATCCATTTCTGGGTCGGGGGGGTGGCCAGAGATGCCACCCAGTACACAGAGCACCAGCCCCTCACTGATCCTCCTGCAGGTGGTGTGTCCACAGGATTTAAAAAGCCACTTTGGGTAATGTTTTGCATCCAATAACGATAGGAATAATAAGGAAGAGAGGTCAAGGGTAAGAAGGCTGATTTTAGAAATCGGATCCACCCAAGAGTCGGCAGCAGACAGATAGCAAAACACAAGAGGAGGAGACACCCGGTTTTTTTTACTTTTTAAAACTCATTGGACTTATTGGCAAATGGAGGATTACATATCTACGCTCAAAATATTATCTGGACTTAAACATGAAACTTGTCTGAAGTGAGGTGGTCTGCGCAGTTCATTTATAAGGTACGCCCCATAACACACTTTTAAATGTGCCGTTTACATACTTTTTTGTTTTGTATGAACAAACAATGTGGACATGAAACATTCTGCTGTATCCAAACAAACAAAAACAGGACCTTTTTAAGAACATATTCTTAAAACGGTCACAGAGTACCTTTAAACTTTTCCTTACTTGGTTCTGTTGGCGTGGTCCAGTTCTGCAGCTCTGTGGGACACAAGCTCCTCTCCAGGGGTGTCCGACAGGGTGCTGGGCTCACATGCCACCACTGCAAAAAAAATGTTTTCATCCAATAGTCAAAATAATGCTATTTGTCACAAAAAACAGTACATTGTAAATCTCCATGGTGCTCTAAAACAATGTAAGAAAGAAGAGTAGGTGCACTTCGGTTCTCAGTCCTGCTGCATCGCTCTGCACTCTGCCCCTTTATGCGACATCAGCGGGAAACTGCTCGAATCAAAGGCTCTGCAGGCTCTACTCAGACCAACTTCATTCAAGTAAAAATAAAAACACAGATCTTTATAGTAATTGACGTAATCACGTAAGTACACCGTCTGTTTGAACCCTGTTTAAAACAATGAGGCTGTTTATCTGGATTTACAAGTAAGACTGAGTCGATGAGGAATGCAAACATACAAGCTATCACTTTTATATTTAGGTAAGACATAGCAGACATTGTGTCCCCTTTGAATTAGAACATTGTATATGTACAAAATGAAAATGGTGCAGGATGTTTTGTTCAAAGCAATCCCTTAATATGCTCAAAATATTTAAAAAAATAACTTTTTAATAATTACTTGAAGTCACACTATTACTTATTCTTGGGTTTCATGACGTTGGGGCAGTGGCGCAAATAACAAGCGTGGGACAGGACGTGACGTCCTGGCGGTGCAGTCTGCCGGGTTATACACAGAGATATAGTAGAAGAAGCTCTGTCAAAATGCCATCTTTTTGTGCTTGTAGCAACCCCGCAAATAGAGAGAAAGACAAGAGTTTCTTCTGTGTTTCCACTGCGGTCTCATTAAAGGATTAAGGATCGTTCAACGGCCACTGGTCCACGTTATGAAGCTTAGGTCCTGGATCTATAGCCCGTCCGTCCGTGTGGGGCGGATCCCTTTCTCAATTGTGGGTATCCCCGAGGTTTCTCACTTTTTACCCACTGGGTTTTTGTGAGTTTTTCCTTGCCGATGCAGGAGAGTCTGTTGGACAGTTAGTGTAAATGATGTGGTGATGAACCAGGACACTTTAACATTCTACAACATGTATGGACATTTTTTTAACATGTCTTCTATATTCTTTCTGTGTTTTAACTGTTGATTCTCCGATCTGTGTTGGTGATTTCAATAGTTTTGTTAAGTCCTCTGAGATGACTTATGCGATTTAGGTTGTGATTTAGGGCTATACAACAATAAATTGTATTGTATTGTATTGTATTGATTATATTTTGAAAAAAAAATCACTCGAATGAAGCGAATGATTCTGATTCTGCAAACAGACAAGATTTACATGGTTTGCAATGGGAGCAAAACTGAGTTGTCCCACGTCCGCTCATTCGCTCCCTACAGGCCAGTTTAATGAAACCCAAGAATTACTCATTTTTAGGGTTCCACACCTCCATTCTGCACCTTATCCCTGACTTGTTTGGTATAATCATCCTGCTTTCTGACTGACAGCCAAATAGTTGTGCAGACATATTTCTCAGTATACACAGATTTGTAAGTTCTTATTTGCTTATCGATTTGCTCATTACTATTTTGCGAGTTAGTCGGTGTGCAGAAATAATTCATTAGATTCAACTGTAGGCTGTACACGCCTCTCCCCCAACGCAGCCGATCTGTAGTAATTGATGTGCGAATCTTCGTTCCTACTTTGTCCTTCGTACTGTGTTGTCTTGTAGTCTTTAACTGCTGTACTGTAAATAGTTCTCTGCTTGATGTGTGCAACCAGTACTTAAAACTTTCCAATAATCTAGGCATTTAAGATAAGATAAAGTCTATCTTATCTTACTGATCTCACACAGGAGAACATTACATGTCACATCTGGCATGTATAGAATCACTCAAGAAGAAAAAAAATTGTGCAAAGAAAGAAGTGTGGAAACATGTCAAATGCAGGATATATTACGTACAATAAAAGGGGCAAACAGTCCTAGTGCAAGTGACTTAAAGTGACTTAATGTACAGTCTGACAGCAGTGGGGATAAAGGCCCTGAGGTAGCGCTCCTTCTTGCACTGAGGGTGCCTCAGTCTTCCACTGAAGGAGCTCCTCAGCTCCTCTACAGTCCTGTGCATTGGGTGGGAGGTGTTGTCCATGATGGAGGTGGCTTTGACTAGCACCCTCCTGTTCCTCGCCTCCTCCACAGAGTCCAGGGGGCAGCCCAGAGTGGAGCTGGCCCTCCTGACCAGCTTGTTGAGTCTACTCCTGTCCCGCTCTGTGCTGCCTAGGGCCCAGCACACGGCAGCGTAGTGTATGGCAGAGGCTACCACAGAGTCATAAAAAGTCCTGAGCAGAGGCCTGCTCACTCCGAAGGACCTTAGCTTCCAGGAAGAGGAGACTTTGGCCCTTCTTGTACAGGGCGTTGGTGTTATGGGACCAGTCCAGTTTATTGTTAAAGTGAACACCCAGGTACTTGAAGCTGTCCACAGCTCAATGTCCTCCCCCTGAATATTCAGCAGCGTGTGGGAAAGTGGTTTTCTCCTGAAGTCGATTACCATCTCCTTGGTTCAAGCACAAGTGGTTGCGCTCACACCAGTCGACAAGGTTTGTGGTAACCTTGTGACACACAGCCCATGATGGTGGAGTCGTCGGAGAACTTCTGCAGGTAGCAACTGTGTGTGTCGTATGTGAAGTCTGAAGTGTAGATGGTGAAAAGAAATGAGAGGACAGTGCCCTGAGGGGCCCCAGTACAGCAGACTACCACCTCAGACTCGCAGCTGCGCAGCCGCACGTACTATGGTCGGTCCGAGAGGTAGTCGATGGTCCATGCAGTGAGGTTACTGTCCACTCCCGCGTCCTCCATCTTCCCCGCAGCAGTGCCGGTCTGATGGTGTTGAAAGCGCTGGTGAAGTCAAAGAACCCTCTAAACGCTCCCGGCGGGCTCCAGGTGGGAGAGCATCTGCTGCAGTAAGTAGAGACGGCGTCCTCTACTGCTATGTTGGGCTTGTAGGCGAACTGCAGCAGGTCCAGGGTGGGGCTGACCACAGAGTGGAGAAGGGTGAGGATGAGCCGCTCCATGGTCTTCATCAGGTGGGAGGTCAGTGCGACTGGTCTGTAGTGAGCCGGTTCCTTGGTGTGCGCTATTTTCGGAACCGGGATCACACAGGAGGTCTTCCACAGGACAGGGACCTTCTCCAGGCTGAGGCTCAGGTTGTAGATGTAGCTGAGGACCTCTGAGAGCTGGTCTGCACAGGTCCTCAGCAGTGGGACTGATTCCTACGGATTTCCTCTGCTTCAGTCGCTTGAGCTGATTCCTCACCTGGTCCGGTGTGATGGAGAGGGGGGGGCTGGGGATGTGGGGGCAGAGGTCCCGGGGCAGCCGAAGGCAGTGTCCACTGGGCTGGAGAGGTGTGAAGAGGTGGGGGCGGGAAGGGGGGCAGATGGAGAGGGGGGAAAATCAAACCGGCTGAAATATTGGTTAAATTCATCCGCCCGGCGTTGGTCTCCCTCCGCTGTCCCTCTGGCACTCTGTCCCAAACCGGAGATGTTCTTTAGGCCGCTCCACACGTCGCGGGAGTTTCCCTGTGCCAGCTTCTGCTCCAGCTTTTTCCCATAGTCCTTCTTGGCCCTCCTAATCCTCCACTGGAGCTCACGCAGGATCCTCTTCTGCTCCTCTTTGTCCTCTGAGATGAAAGCCCTTTTCTTGAGGTTCAGGAGGGTCACCCATGGGTGGTTGTTGGAAAAGCACCATACCTTCCTAGTACAATGTTATTCATACAGAAGAGAATATAGTCTGTCATTTCAATTGTAATCAAAGAGTTTTTGACCATTTCAGCCCTGGACTTGAATACCAACAGTCTGGTGCAGTATTTCATGGTTTTGCACTGGTCCAGACCAGAGTGGAGAGGATTTATGGTCCAAACCTAGAGGATCAGGTGAAAATCCACTGGAGGAATGCTAACTTTTTGAAAAATGCTAATGAAGCATTTAGCATTTTACTTTGGACTAGAGCAGAGAAAATGGTCCGAACCAAGCAGCTACTCCACCTGGTGACCTGTCCTGCACCACCCAGCGGCTACTCCATCTCTGCTGCCATGATCCGTCCTGCTCCACCCAGAGGCTACTCCATCTCTGCTGCCATGATCCGTCCTGCTCCACCCAGAGGCTACTCCATCTCTTCTTCTATGACCTGAAAGGCTATTGCTGATTATTACTATTTTTAACTTTTTAGAATGATCCATTTTATTTTTTATTTTTGCTGCTACTGGACACCTGAATTTCTCCTATGGGGATCAATAAAGTATCTATCTATACATCAGGAAGCATGGGGACCATTTATGAAGGTTCTTCCAGTATAATGACTTCAGTCTTTGTTTTGGACTTTTAAACAAATGGCTGGCCACTTCAATCTTTCCCTTATATCCAAGCTCATGCTGTCATTCCATCAAAGCTGAACTCTTATTATATGACAAACCAAGAAGCATTGCGGAACAGATATTTGAAAAGGATTTTTTTTAATGCGTCTTCTTACTTTAGACCCTCTAGTGCACACTTTATACCCATAAAGCCAGGACCCGTTTTATTTGTGCTCAAAAATCTCAACTCTTTACTTTGCATCTCAGTATATGGAGGAGGCGATTCGGTGAAATGTGCTTGTTCTGTGTCAGAGCTGCACATATGCAGTGTGTTCTAACACATGGTCATTGCAGTGCAGGCCGCTGCGCCTCTGCTCTAATTGCTCGTGGATGTTTAGAAGCAGAGTGCGACTGACTTTCACACTAGTGCTGTTGTAGAGGGGCATTGCAATTGAGAAAGTATTTATTGACTCCATATCCAGATGTTTAAGAAAGTCAAAACTAATCAATCAAAACTTGCTTTAGATAATTGCAACCACTTTTTTTTCCCATCAAAAATCATAATATTCTAATCTATAAATACACACGGCAGATGACAGTGCAGGTTATTCAATTATTAAGTGTCAGGAGGTATGAGATAATAAATTGACAAATATAGCCCAGTAGATCCCTACTGGCTTGATGTGGGCTGATGAATGACAGCTGGTCAATAAGATTCATTATAAAAAACATTTTCACTTGTGATATTTAGTCTGGT